TCTGCTACGTTGGTTACGAGGGATTCCTTGGTTTCAGAGCCAGCGAGTCTCTGGACATGTCAGCTTTTTATGTTTTTGCCTGCTGGCGATGGGAAAAGAGAGCCTGCTCCTCAACAGCAGGTGGTCGTCCTCATTGCCCTTGTAATTTGTATATCTTTGATGTCACGGCGCCTAGTAATCAAGTAGTCGATCAGGGCCAGTGTCTGGAATGAGGGTGCATCCAGGTGGCCTTGTGGATGAGTGGTAGCTGGAACAGGGTGTTGGTGATGGTCAAACCATGCTCAGCACAAAGCGTAAGAAGCAACCTGCCGTTAGAGGTCTGTTCCACTCCATGTGGTTCAATGACCTCTGGCCATGACATGAAGTCTTTGCCCACGAGAGCGTTAAAGTCCCCAAGTAGCAGGAGCTTGTCACCCTTTGGAACAGTGTGTAGCAATGTTGAAAGGTCCAGGTTGAACAATGCCTTCTGCACTTAGGTGTACCACAGTGGAGGCATACGCACTGATGGATGTTAGGTGCTTTTTTCCTTTGAGGGCAGTCTCATAGTCATCAGATCACTGATACCTTTGGGAGACTAGTTTTTTTTACAAGTGAGGTACATATGGCAAAGCCAACTCCTGATTCTCTGCGTTCCTCAGGAATTTTTTCCTGACCAGAAAAAGGTGTATCCACCTCCTATCTCTGTGATTTCGCCAGTGTCTGCTAGGCGTGTTTCACTGAGAATAGCGATGTCAATGTTGCTTCGCTGAAGTTCTAGTCCAACATGTGCTGTTCGTCGCTCTGGTCTGTTGCTGTTCTTGTTGTCCAGGAGAGTCCTGATGTTCCAGGCTCCAACACATAAAGTGCGCTTTGTTTAGGTAGATTTTGCATCCAGTGATGTTCTTTGTGATTTGTTTTGATCACATTTGTAGATGTCCAGTCAGCTGCGGTATGCTGACAGGATGGAGTTTGAGGCAACCTTTCTTTAGGTCACCTTTTCTAAACCCTTCCCTCTGAGGAAGGAGCAGTGCTGTCCCTGAAGAGGGCTGCTCCGTCACCAGAGTAGCTGCCGAACACTACCCAGGTGAGTAGAGAACGACCATCCTCCCCTGGTCGCCTGAGTGCAGGTCTGTGACTAACAGCTCCTAGGGTCATATTAACCTGCCACCGTCGCCACACGCCTATCGCCCCAGGACTAGGAAAAACAGAAAGAGGTAATGGAGTCACTAAATCCTGGGGCGAGGGATGTGTGGAGGCCATGGGTTGCACAAGCACCACGACCCCCTCTCAATCCAAGCTGCTATAGTCAAGAGGGATGCAGGGCATAACGTCTCAACCACAACTGGACTGCAGGAGCTGCCGGATTGATGATAGAGTTCAACACCAAACCGCCTGAGGGGCTCCACTCCGGATTTTCCGTAAGGTTTACTCCCTTGGCCTTTGCCTTTCCCAAGACTACCTGCAAGGCAGCATGACCATTTGCCCTTAGATGGATGTAGGTGGGGACGTCGGGTTACATGTGAGTCTGGCCTACCCTTTACTATTTTTCCCATACCTAGGATGTTTTGAGCTATCTTTGTCTGATCTCTACCTTTTGACCTATCCAGCTTGGTTAGACCTACCATGGACTTAAGCCCTGGCATAGCTCTCCGGGTCACTGAGACACATAAGCCTCCTCACCATGACAAGGTGCTAGCCCATACATACATACATACACACACACACACAAATATATATATGTGTGTGTGTGTGTGTCTACATATTATATATATATATATATATATATATATATATATATATATATATATACATACATATATATATAATGTATGTATATATATATTTATACACATTACATATATATAAATGTAATGTATATGTATTTATACACATACATACATACACATACATACATATATATATATATATATATATATATATATGTACATATATATACATACATAATAGACTTGCGATTTTGTCGTTTGGTCCGCTGTGTTACCTTGTCACTATCATCACTCGCAGTTTCAGTGGTGCTGTGCTTTCGAAGTCATTTATAAAGATCGCTCTTTCTTGCTATAACCATTGCTCGATGATTCTGATCTGGTGTCCCAGCAACTGTCCTTATAACTTAAAGATTCTTATGTAGTGCGTTTTTGTTGCCTTGATTTCCATTTCCCGTTGCCATGGCATGACTCCACAAAGCGGCAGTCCAATCTGTGACTTCCGATTTGCCCTAGGTATGGTTTACGCTGGGCTGAGTGGATGGCAGAGTAGACCTGGGGATTTTCCTACCCCTTTGTTCAGTCACTGGCTCCTGCTATACCTCATACAGGGCTTTGACTTTTTCTACTGAACTCAACACCGTGGTTTTTGACTGTAATCAATACATCACCGTGTTGCTTTACTCTATAATTAATACAGAACCATTTTTTTAAAACTCTATAATCAATAAAGCACCGATGGTTTTGACTGTAATAAATACAGCACCGTGAGATTTGCCTTCCCTCACTCCCTCCCT